GAAAATTTTTTTTTTTTTTTGAAAAATTTGAAAAGGAGGCCCAGTAATGGGAAATGAGCCCCATCAGGTAGTCTGTGAGCTGCCAGAAGAGAAGAGCTCTCAAGCTGACTCGTTGGTGGTTTAAAGCAAGTCTGTTGTAAGAGCAGGTCTGGAAGGGGCACTTACGGACCGCGTGAACACAAGGTGTGCTCTGGGCCCTTCGGATGGGGTGTCCCCACCTGCCGCGCCCGCGGTCTGGGCCTTCACGGCTCACGTCCAGCCCCTTGCCCTAGCCCGCAATCTTGTAAGCACTGGCCTTCCATCCTTTGCATAAATTGTGATTAAAAACTTCGTTACGGCAGTTTACCTGGAAAAAATCCCTTCAGACCAGATCTCTGCTGTGAAAGCAAACAGGCCCAGCCTGAGGACAGAGGAGCCTCCTGACCCTAGTGTGCAGGGAGGGCACCGAGGCAGAGCCAGCCCGGATGGACGCGGGGGGTGCCCCTCAGCCAAGTGGTGGGCAAGGCCCTCTCCGGGAAAGAGCCTTGGGAAACGACCCCGGTAGAGCCTCTTCTTTTCCCGGCAGTGCAGCGGCTTCCAGCCGAGGGGCCTGGTGGGACGGCGTGAGGAAGCTTGAACCGATGGCGAGTTATTTCTCTTAAGCCGACAGACAACGTTATGTTCCACTAATAGAAAAAGTAAGATTAGTTAGGAAACAGAAAAACTGAGAGATCAGCCCCTTTTACAGTCAAGTAGGGAAGAAGTCCACACAAGCTGCTGTGTGAATGATTCGGGAAGGTCAGAATGGTCACGCGGTCTCTTTAAAGGGTTTCCCCCGGCCGCTCACCCAAATGGCATCGTGTCTGCACGCTTCGGAGCCCGAGCCCTGGAGAGGGAGAGGCCAGCGTGTCACTTAAACCCGCCTGCAGCACCCGGGGAGACTGCGGGACTGAAGGCGGAGAGGCCTGCGCTTGCGGACACGTAAGAACCCTGGAGAGATGGAGTCTGGGGATAAAATTGAGGTTTCTGGGTTGTTTGAACTGTTATTTCACGTTACCAAGTTTGAATTCCTTAATTGTCGAGATGAACTAAAGCACAGGCGAAGCCTGCCGGGCGCGCGATTTTGCGGCCTGACGGAGAAGCCAAGGGCCCTTCCTGCCGGTATCCGCACCGAGTGCCCCCGGCCACGGGTTTCCAGTCAGTCTCCAAACACAGGGAAGGCAGGAGCTACAGGGATGGGCCTCACAAGCGAGATTTCTAGTGCCGGTGGAAGACCGAGCCGCCCCACGTGTCCCCCAATACCCAATAGCCGTCCGCGCGCAGGGCCAGGGCCAGGGGTGGAGGGGCGGGCGTAGGAGGACAGCAGTAGGAGGGCGTTGGATTCGGAAGTGGGGGGCAGCGTCCCTGATGGGACAGGTGAGAGACAGCCTGCAGGAATAGGGCCCTGG